ACACACACACACACACACCCCACTCACACCACACACACACACCCCACTCAAATTACACACACACACCCCACTCACACCACACACACACACCCCACTCAAACCACACACACACACCCCACTCAAACCACACACACACACCCCACTCACACCACACACACACACCCCACTCACACCACACACACACACCCCACTCAAACCACACACACACACCCCACTCACACCACACACACACACCCCACTCACACCACACACACACACCCCACTCACACCACACACACCACCACCACCACCACCAGAAAGCAGCTTGTGACAGCTGACTAACTCCCAGGTACCTATTTACTGCTAGGTAACAGGGGCATTCAGGGTGAAAGAAACTTTGTCCATTTGTTTCTGCCTGGTGCAGGAATTGAACCCGTGCCACAGAATTAAGAGTCCTGTGCGCTATCCACCAGGCTACTAGGCCCCTGGTGGTTTCCTCCGCACGATCCGTCGGGTCCAGTCTTCTCATGCATAGGTTGACAAACTTGAATGCACCAAGGGTCTTAAAACATTGACTACCCTCATCTGGTTTTGCCCACCGGTCGAAGCAGTGTACCAGGGTTTGTCCGCTGTTGCGTGCAAACAGCTACTAGGAGAGAGCTCGCCTGTTGCATGCAAACAGCCACTGGTGAGAGTTGAGTGCAGGTGGGTACCAAAGTACAGTGACACCTCGGCTTACGAATGCCTCTATTTACGAACTTTTCGGGTTACAAGCAGTTTCCTTGGAAAATTCAAATCAGGTTATGAGCTTTGCCTCGGGAAACGAGCTGGTTGATACTCGTATAGCCGACCTAGCACGTGGTGGCACGGTGATCACGCCTCAGTTTACCAGTGCCTCCCACCTACTGACATTCGTGCCCGAATTCTTTGTAAAGAATGGATTTTTTGGATTTTTGGGTATTTGAACATAAAAGTAAATATATATCTTGCCATGGGTCCCAAAAAAGTCGGTGGTAAGGTTCAACCTAAGAAAACAGTTGAGTTGAGGATGTCCCTTCCTCATTAAGGAAATGCGTGAATTATGGGAAGAACTGCAAAGTTTTATTGAAAAAACTCGCCCAGATAAAGCTGTAGCAGGCCGTTGCATTGACCTTTTAAATGACAATGTGATGTCTTACCACAAACAAGTGTTAAAATGTAGGGAAAAACAAGTGTCTTTAGACAGATTCTTAGTAAGACAAGCAAGCAGTGAGCCACAAGCAGGACCTAGTGGTACGCAGACAAAACGTGCCAGAGTGTACCCCAGAGAAGTCCTCACTGCCTGATGTCATAATGGAAGGGGACTCCTCTTCCAAACACTAACACCTCTCTACACACAGAAATCACAATAGCATGATGCATCAAATGAACAAATGGATTTGTTCATTTGATGCATCACGCTATTGTGATTTCTGTGTGTATTGAAGTTAGGGTGAAGAGGTAGAACAGCTTGTTGGTAGAGCCCGAGTGCATGGGGGAAATGTGTAAAACCCTGGTGTGTCTGAGAGGCTGCAGGATCCCTGTGAAGTCGGTAGAATTCCCAGTTGCAATTCTTTTGACCATGTCGTGGCCTAGTCGACTAAGGCAGCATCTGGGATCATCCCGGGTGTAAGTTCGAATCCTCATCATGGCCCTTGTGGATTTGTTCACTAACACCTCTCCTCCTTTCCCCTCCTCACTGTCTTCCATACGCTAACAAGAATCAACAGTAAAGGCAAGTAATAACTTGTACATACTTTAGTACTGAAGAATTGGTTGAATTAGGTATAAAATTTACTTTGAAGTTAATTTTTTGGGGAGTCTGGAACCGATTAACTCAATTTCCATTACAGTACAGTATTTCTTATGGGAAAATTCGCTTCAGTTTACAAATATTCGGCTTACGAGCCGTCACTGGGAACGGATTTAATTCGTAAGCTGAGGTACCACTGTAGACGAACCACCCGAAAGTGCAACTGTTCCCTGTCTGAGGTACTACCTCCCTCACTGACACCCCCCCCCCCCTAGACACCCCAAGTAAAGTATGCATGTAATGTAAAACAGAATATATCCTTGTATTGCCACATGTTATTCAGCTTGCATAATGCATATTTTGATATGAAGCCATTTTCTGAGAATGTAACTGCCAAGTTATACAAGGCTTGCTTGTAATGTGTTAATGTGGGTGTTAAGCCAATGAAATGCATTGGAAATGAGCTAGTGCAATATAGTACAAGATATAAATATTTTAGATTTTAATTACTGTATTAGGAAAGGAAGGGTTGCAGGTACTATATTTTTTGCACAGAAGGCACTGTTCGGGAAGCACAAGTATGCATGTGAACCCCTTTTCTTTTAACACAGTATAGACAGTGCATTGATTAGAATGCTTTTCCAGGTACAGCGATTAAGGAAAGAATCTTCAGACCTGCGGAAAGAGAATGCCACCTTGGAGCAGACTGTAAATAAAGTCATTGAAACAAATGATGAGCTTACTGCAAAGGTAAGCTGACAGTTGATTTAGCTAGTGAACATTATATTTTTAATAGTGGGCCTAAAGGTAGGTACAAGTTTGCCTGTATGTAAAGTGCACGCAACAGAATTAACGTTTTTTATGGGTTAATCAACTCGGTGGGCTCTGGTGTTTCAGAGATAGACATTTTAAAGTAACTTATTTATAAATCAATAATAATACAACAGGGGTGTCATTAAAAATGTCAACAAATTGTACAAGGTATGAAATACCAGAGGGATAGGAAATGCTATATTTAAATTACTTAATTATTGTATGATATTCCTCCTCAAAAATGTAAAACATTTTATTCAATAATATATAGATGCTAAGCAACAAAAGTAAAACCCAATGATGTTAAAGGGGACAGAAGACAAACCATAACTCCTCCCTTTCACTTTTGTTAAATTTTAAGTGAGCCCCTTGACAAAATACTTGGTCAAAGTTTCCTGCTGGTAAGTTTCAGCATCGTTACATAAATATATATGTATATATATATATATATATATATATATATTTTTTTTTTTTTCAAAATAGCACTGTTGAAAAATCAAAATCTAATAAACATTTTAGATGATTTAATGTGTTACACTAATGTATTATAAGAGTTTTTACTCTTGAGTCTGATTACAAAAATATATTCATTATGTCTAGTTGCTGCAAAAGAAATTCATGCGCACCCCAATTATGCACTAAATATACAGCTTTTAAATTTTATAATTAAAGTTTCTGCTTTGATTTAATTTGTTTCGATATTGTAGAGCTCGAAACTGCACATATAGTACGTAGGATTGATGAGAATTGCTCGGAAATTGACCTGTCGAACTGAGTTTGAAGTCGTAAGAAACTGCCTTAGGAATACTTTCAGTCAAAGACTCCAGCAATGGTTAGGGGCAGTTCTTTTTTATCAATTGCTTCTAACTTTCCAATACCTATGGCTGGGAATGTGCACTCAAACATGTCAAAGTTTCAGAAAAATCTTATTTGAAAGGCAAAGAAAAAAAATAGGTTATAGAGGGGGGACCAGCACTGAATGTAATGAAACTGCTCTCTGGTAGGGCTCTGGTGGCTCCCTGCAGCCATCTCGCTGAGATTGCTCCAATCTACCATTCACATCAGTTGAATGAATTCTCTTGGCCTACCATGGACCAGAGCCAAAACCTGGTCCTTTCACATAGGTTGCAAAGGGCAAGTGACATTCTGCAATTTCACCGGGAAAGCTTCCAGAAAGTTGGTGAAGCTGTACAGACAATTGTTGGGTTCACAGGCCTCAAAAATACCAAAAATGCCCATTAACTGTACAAATGATACAAAATAACTAAAGAAAACAAAACTAGCTAGAACCTGATAGTATCATATGCTGCCAACACACAGCCTAACGCTCAGTCCAGCGTTAGTCCACGAATCAGTTCATTCACTGATGAACTGAGAACAACACTGTAGAGCTCCTCTGTCGCACTAAAGCAACGCCGCAGAGCTCCTCTGTCGCACTAGAGCAAAGCTGTAGAGCTCCTCTGTTGCACTAGAGCAAAGCTGTAGAGCTCCTCTGTTGCACTAGAGCAAAGCTGTAGAGCTCCTCTGTCGCACTAGAGCAAAGCTGTAGAGCTCCTCTGTTGCACTAGAGCAAAGCTGTAGAGCTCCTCTGTTGCACTAGAGCAAAGCTGTAGAGCTCCTCTGTTGCACTAGAGCAAAGCTGTAGAGCTCCTCTGTCGCACTAGAGCAAAGCTGTAGAGCTCCTCTGTTGCACTAGAGCAAAGCTGTAGAGCTCCTCTGTTGCACTAGAGCAAAGCTGTAGAGCTCCTGTCACATCATCTTGCAGTAAGTCCCAAAGCTTCTAAGCCAAGTACCGGGTCATCCTAGGAATCGTCCTGTGGGGGGCCTTCATTGCTAGTGTATTGTTCCATTATTGTACTGCGTGTGTTCTGCATGGTTTTGTTGTGTACTTCACTTATCCAAATAGACTGGATAGGTAAGGACCCCCATGGAGGTGATGAGACATGGAGATCAAAACCGGTAGATACAGCAGATAAGCACTTCATGAAACGCAAAATTACAGAATGAACAAGCGTAAGGGGAAATGACCCTCCAGCGACACAAGATTTGGTGTTTACCCCAAATGAGGCAGATGTGAAGAAGATGGAGTATGAGATGCCCCTGAGGGCAAGTGTCCCCTGCATTATCGTGCTTCAGTACCTAATGGAGATAATAAACTGGGTAGACCAAGAAACATGCTAAGGAATATGAGAAACTACAGATGTGGAGACTACAGTAAGGTGAGGGATTTTTTGAGTGACTCCAGTGGGAGAAGGGAACTAGAAAGGAATACAACAAATGAAAAGATGAAGTTATTGCTCAGAAATGTGTAGATGCAATGCAGCTGTACATTGCACTCAATTAGGAGGTGGATGAAAAAGGCAAAGTAAACCTCTGGTTTAAAGGGCAGCGCAGAGAAGCACCGGAGAGGAATAAATAAGCATGAAAAAAGTGAGAACTAAGATCAGAGGAAAATAGATACTAAAGAGTCAGATATAATGATTGCACCAGAGTCAGGAGGGAAGCAGAGAGAGAATTTGAAAATGACGTAGTAGCAGAAGCTAAAGACCAACCAAAGCTCTTTTATCGTTGATGCATTTTATCGTTTCGGGGCCGGAAGCAGGGGAGGGGGACCAGAACGCACAACGGGAGGGGAAGGACCAGGAGGTGCGGACTGAACCAGGGTAGAGGCGACCCCCATCCCCAAGTTTGGGTCCCTATAAGCAAAACGGGGCAGCCGCGGGGCATCCGGGTGAACAACCAACCTAGCGCGTTGCAACAACCGAAACCTAGAATGCAACACTTGTGCAGCCTGTACCTGAAGATCATCCATAGACGGTAAATTGAGTCACCAGCAAGCAACAGTGCTCGCAGGACTCGGGGTCGAAAGTGTCACCGACCCAACAGGCTGCATGACTGAGGCAAGAACAGTGAGGGTCGCCCTGAGACAAGGAGATCAAACAACCCTCAAACTCTCATGAAGTGAGGGGGTGGGGGGACCGGGGTCCACATCCATTGGACCCACATGTCCCCTAGGGGATTCCCGGGGTCCTGAGCGTTTACTTGAAGAGGACTCGCGCTCGGGTAAACCCAGGCAGGGTACTGCTAACAGGCGCCCAAAACTACCAAACAAACTGTCTAAAGCTGAACCCTAGGGACGTGTACACTCATGGGGATCAAGCAGGGGGCACCACCAAGTATCAGGGTGAGGCCAAACACCAGTGGCAATGAGGGCAGAACCCCCCACCAAGGCAAAAACAAAAAGAAAACCAAAACCCCGCAAGAGGACAACGTACCCCAAGGAACAGAGCCAGCCGCTGTGATAAGTGACAACTAGCTGCACAGCACCCTGCGCCCCTACCAGTGCGAAAACTGCCTCTTACACTAAGATAAACTAGGAGACAAAACCCCCAAGTACCCAAAGAGCGGCCGAGAAACCGAGTAGTAAAACACGTACATAGAGGCAGACCCCGAGAAACTTGTGGAAGATAACCCCAAGCTCCAAGGGCAGTACTTACTGGGCACCTAGGGAAGGGAACCCTAGGCGCATGCAGCCCGAATACTGAGGAATAGCTCCTGGCTCTCGCACCCCTGGAGAACAGCAGCCACACACAAGGCACAGCGCCGCAAAAAGACCGGAGCTAGAGCATACAACCAAGCCGATTGCATCAGCCTCAAGAACTGGGGTGTAGATCACCGGCGTGGTAGGTCTGGGGCTTCCCCTTCCCCCTCCCGGGGTAGGAGGCCTGCGCAGACAGCGGCGCGACAACGAATGACGTCATACTAGTTTGCTTGTTTTTGTTTGGGGAGTTCTATCCACTCGTTCGGCTTTTGGTTGCAATTTTCACCAGAATAGGGGTTTGTTTTGGGACGCCTACCTTTCTGGGTGCCTAACCCGGTCGATGGCAGACATAGAATGCTTCCAACCACACAGGGGTTTCTATAGGCCATTGCTCCCCTTGCCTCTCTGAGGTGGCTAGGTTCTGGCTCGTGGTCCCCGGTAGGCCCATAAGAACTCCGTACACACGACTGATGCCAAAGTCTAACATTAGCATATCAGCTGGTAAGCTTCGGGGAGCCTCCGGGACTCGCCCAGTGAATGACGTTTCATTACATTCAACGCTGGTTTTTTGCCAGACTTCCCATCCTATAGCAGGCAATATATGCCACCTATAATTTTTTTATTATTTTCCCATCATCAGAGAACACAGATTAACAGGTTTAGAAGAATTTTTTTTTTTTAATGCACCTATGGGTAACAAATGCTAAATAGCCCAGAGCCACACAAGGGTTAAAAACACCTGAAGGAACTAGATGTAACAATCAGTTGGGCCAGACTTAATATCACCATGGCTACTGAAGAAAAGTTTCCTCTGAGCAGGGTTTGGCTTCTGGGGTTCTGGTTCTTCGGGGCAGCCCTTTTCTCCTCTTGCTATCTCTGGGTGTGGACTCTTGGGGCCCTGTGCCAGCTACATCGCCAGCTTCCTCATCGTTTTTTGGGGGTTCTGTAACTACCTCAGACAGAACCTTTTTGGGGTACCTTGAGCCTACCTCTGCCCTTGCTTGACTTCTAAGGAACGACTTGGTTCTTGGTTGAGGCTTTGTGACCAGCACTCCCTAGTCTGGCCATGGCCGTTGGCTTCCTTCCTTCGTTGGGCACACTGTCCTGTTCGGGTGTTTGCAGTCCGAACTCACTGCAGGCAGGTGCTGCGGTGAGTTTGGATTCCTTTGGGATCTGTGATCCAGCTCCATTGAAATTGTTTCCCGTGGTTCACTGTCTCACACGGGGAAGGCTCTCTTCGGTCTCTTGTCTCTTTGCTGCTGGTTGCTTTAAGTAGCTCCTCTGCTGAATTCTCAGAGTTTGGCTGTCTGTGCCATTCATGTTTTGGGTGTGTCCAACATCCTGGTCAATGGCCAGTTCTGGTTCCTTCTGGTTTCCATGGAATGGATTGTCGACG